ATATATATATAATGTGTGAATGAGTCATGCAGGTTAGCAAAGGAAAACATACTGGAGAGAATTCGAAAGAAGAAATCTTTGATCAAGAGACAGTGTGATTTCCTGTTTCCTCGTAGCTGGCCAACAGATCATAAATAGTACGGCCACTGTAATGTTTATTACATTCCTAAAATGAGATGGGTCAGAGGCAGGGTTTGATTACAATAATGTAATCCCTTGTGCGTACGTGTGTGTTTGCGCATTTGTATGTCTGTTAATCTGACTGTCTTACGTAAACAAAAATGGCTTTAAAACTGACAATTTTTACAGATACTGAGGTAAATTTTGATTTGGTAGTAGCTGAGAGTTGTACCCATCACATACTTTGAGTACTAACACTTTGTGCAATATCTTTTTTAAAACTTCAGTAGTTTCCATTAAGGTAAATCCGGACTGTTAGCAAAATAGCCCACGAAGAAGTGGGTGAATTTGAAGAAAACTCTCAAAACAATTAATCATTAGATGCACATTTCAGAGTCAGCTTGATTCAAGATGGCTGCCACAGCTAGGAAACACAAAAATGGCTGTAACTCAGTAGGTTTTAAAGATGCTGGCATTTAGTTGTGGTTGTAGCGGAGAGTCCTCTTCATCACATATCTTGAGCATTACCAATCACAGGAGATCGCTTTTTTGCCTATAAGGCAGTGGGTGCCTTTTTTCAAAGGATGCTGGTTCCATTAGAAAAGACATCTGTCTGAATTCTTTTAATTTTTCTCTGAGAATAATTTGGCTGTTGGAAGACCAGATAAAACAGCAATGTTTAGCAGACATCTTGGTGTTTATTATATGATGAGAAGAAAAAATACACAGCCATTAATCCCTGAGGCCTTTTGAAATTAGCAAACTCTTCCAACGGGCTGGAGTAACTACACAAATAGGGTTGCATTTAATTTTACCAAAGGCCTGGCCACAGTTTGAATTCACATTTTGCCCTTCAAGGATTTTTGTGACAGTGCACTACTGCTAACTGCAGGGTGGTTTTAGAGCCATAATGAGGCAAAATGCTAAGTTTTCTTTGCACACTCAACACATCTGGGGCCGGAAATCCAGCCAAGCATAATGCCTCTACCAGCTGGGATTTTTTTGCACAACACAAACAGGCACATTATACAAGTCACACAGCAGGAAAGGGCAGTTTTTGTGTGTGCTGTTTGCAGTGAACCCTTTTAAACATAATCACCCACGTTTCCTTCGTTTACAGCTCTATTTTCAGTTGCATCTCAAATAAGCTTAGCTTTAATTATACAAGAAGAAGATGCTGGAATGTGTGATACCCGAATTAAACAAGACACATATTTAGTGAACACACAGTGAATTTCTGCAACTGGCTTGGATGTCGCCGTATAAATTGGTGAAGATTAACGGCAGATTGGGGACTCTAAATCAGTCATTCGAACTGCCAAGTAATGTCCAGCTATGTTTTATTTCTTCTTCAGTCTGCCGGATTCATTTAAATCTCAGGAGAGCTTGCCTGTGAAAGCATTTAGCTGCTCTCTTCCTGATTTTTGATTTGGTCAAAGCAGACAAAAATAAAATAAAATAAAATAAAAAGACTTGTAAAAGAGAGTGAGAGGGAAGAAGAGAACGGGTTAATTTTAATGCTGCTTATTAATGTCCAGTGTGACAGTTTTTATGAGTCTGGAGTGTGCTTTTATGGTTGACTTTTGCATTAAACTCTTCTGCTGAAGAATTTTGATTCAAATTAGCCAACATGCAGAAAAACTAAAACAATACTTCAGATAACTTTGGAGGTGTTCAATAGAAAAGCTTATGATCTGAAAATTAATGGAAATCGTTTCCTACAACCTCAGGTTGGCAAAACTGTTTAAATTTGAAAGATTTAATTAAAGGTAGACCAATTAACTGGCCAACTAGTTTAACTGGTCATATTCATCCAGCCATTAGCTAATCAGTCTAGTCAAAATGAAACTATTTCCTCAAACTGAGACTGTTTAAAGACTCATCTGCAACAGATTGGTTGTTTTTACCTTTTCCACAGAACACAACTTCAAAAGACCTAAACTATATCATTTGAACCATGGTTATTGATTTATTGATTGATTTGGCATCCTTCTAGAAGGCAACCCAGAACGTTTTCTATTGTTAGTGACCAACTCCTACATTGGGTTTTTTTTTTATTTCCGTTTAGACAAATATGCTTCTTTATTTGAAATTTAGCAACAAATATGCAACAACCACTGTGACGGACACCAAAATACCCCATCCATATAGATCCACTTTGTCTAAACCAGGGGTTCTCAAGCCATTTGGGTCTGGGGACCCCTTACAGGGGCAAAAAAAAATTCCAGGGAACCTCTCATGAACCCCATGCTGTTTTAAAAGATACATTATTGTCAGTTCAACCCCTAAATGCCATGAGAATGTATATTTTTATTAAGTTTATTATGTTTGTTTTATTAGTTCATTGTTCTCCATGCATTTTTAAAAATAAAAACCAAATTAATTGGTAAATGGATTGTACTTATGTAGCGCTTTTCTATCCATCCAGTATACTCAAAGCGTGTCACACTTCAATTTGTGCCCTCATTTACCCATTCACACAGCACTCTATTATGTCTCTACAAAGCTAACAWGTACAATCATCAATGGAGACTAATCAGTGCCAATCACATTCATATACTGATGGGACACACATCTAGTGGTTAAGTGTCTTGCCCAAGGACACAACAACTGAGACAGCTGGACGAGGGATCGAACCAGCGACCTTCCGGTTCCAGGATGGCTCCCCTAACCTCTCTGCCACAGCTGCCTAAAATTAACATTTTAGTCAACTTTTTTGAGGACCCCACAAGATACCTCTCGCGGACCCCTGGGGGTCCAGGGACCTCTGGTCTAAACACACCAAAGAGAGAGATTTCAAGTCCAGTCACCCATCTGTATGTTTTGTTAGACGGTTATGTACAAACTTACTCTGATATCGTTACACTTGAAGCTTCTCAGCTTGTTAGCCCTGCTAAGGATCACCGGGTCTTTAGTCATCGTGRGAGCCAAGCTTCAGCTGAGAAAAGCAACGCATTCAGCCAACTCATGACCTCACCGTGTACGTGTGTGAGCAGCTGGAAGTGGAACCTCTCTGATCTGCTGCATAGCCTTCAACTCTCCCTTTTTCTATTTTCTTTCCCAGGATATTATCCCAAGTCCTCTGCCAGTGAAAATAAATGTAAGCATCTGTATTACTTTTTTTTATATTATTTTTGTTCACTGTTCAACCTCAYTCCTCTGCATCCACTCTGTTTCCACGAGCACGGGGTGGGAGATGGTGGGAGATCTCACCACATATCAAATCTGCAATCTTTTTTTAAAACCTATTGATAATAAAACCAAGTTAAATTCATGAGTCATGAGTTTTGTTTTAGCCTCATACTTAATAAAATACAGATATTATCTGTAAGGGGGGGGTTTGCATGTGAAAGACTTTCCAATTCACATCTGCAAGGTATCAAACTCAAAACTGTTTGCAGTCACAATAAAGTTTGACTCACATTTTGGGTTTAGAAAACGGTGCAAAAAAAAAAAAGACAACTTTTACAGTGCATTAGGGAACTTTGGATAAATGCTCTTTTAACAGCAACAGTTACAGTAATTACCCACCAAATAAACTCCAAATAAACACTCCGCTCTCACCTTGTTTAGTCACCTTGCAGTCTCGGCTCTGGAGGATGTCTTCCACCGAGGTGTCAAAGATGAAACGCACATCCTGAAGAAGACCCTGGTATACGTAAGAAAAAATGTTAATATCTTCGAAACACATTTTGACTCCTAGAACTCATTTCAGATGGACTTTAGGTTTAGAAGAGATCAGTCAAAATCCAGCATGGAAACTTTCTCGTGAACTAGGCACCCTCTTTTTTTTTTACAACCACAAGAAAATAGAGTCTAACTTTGGAGTCTTTTCCACACAAAAATGTCTGAGTAATCCAGAGCCACCCTGCCATAAGCTAAGAAAAGATTTTGTTAGTTTTTGAACTGGTTGTTTAAGCTGGGCTGTATTTAGCCACCGTGTAAAGACCGTGATTTTTGTTTCTTATGAGGTGACACAGAGGGTTTTCACGTTCTGGGAACTCTTCGACAAGCTCAAAGCCTCTGTCTTACCCTGAAGTGGTTATCCCGAATGGAACCCTTCGCCACATACATCCGGCTTCCCTCGGCCTGCAGATGCTCGTAGAAGGGCTCGTCCAGGATGAAGCTGTCGATCAGGCTGCAGCCCACGAACAGGTTGGCATTCTCGCCGTGAACGTGAAGCGTGACGTTCTTCCACTGCGAGTCCGACAGGTCCACGTCCTCGAACGACACCACGTTCTGCGAGCCGTCCACCCAGTAGATCAGGTCCAGGGTGTTGGCGCGCCCGTTGGACACGATCTCGAACTGCCGCCGGCCGTCGGGGCCCTCCAGGCCCAGCAGGGTCCCCCGCGTGGATCGGTCCTGGCGGATGGTGGCGACGAACACGAAGCCCTCGTTGTTTTGGATCTGTCGGAGGATTTGCTTCAGGACGGGGGCCCTGACGGGAGGCAGGTGGTCGAAGCGGATGAAGCGGTAGGTGGGGATGTTGGAGTTTGGGCCCCTGAATGGTCTGACCCCAATGGTTTTGCGTGTGATGTGGCTTATTTCAAACAAGTCGAAGGACACCTGATCCTCCTGCTCTCCTTCTTCAAAATCAGAAAACGGAGGATGAGAATGGACAGAGTGGTTATGTTATATGTAAAGAAAAGCTGTTATGCTTCTTGGAAATTATTGCATTTTACATCATTTTAAATCATTTATGGTTGAAGCACTGATTTACTATTAGCTGTAAACACTTTATTGACAATAATCCACATCTTTCCACTCACCTTGAGGTGTTACTTGATGGAATGTAGATAGGAGCAACAAGAAGAGACTGCTCCTGAGAATCATATTTCCTTTATAAAACAAATACATTTATTAGCTTTTTATTAATTTTCCCTTGTCCAACATTCAGAGGTTAAAGCTGAGTTTGGATTTTTGTTTAATAGTTCTTTGATGAATAAAAAAAAATAATAGATGCTTTGACGTTAATTAAAGCAACAGAGGAAAAACATAAATATGGTATATAGAAAGCGAAATATTTTTTTTCTTTTTTAAAATAAAAGTAAAAATTACTGACGTTTCTTTTGATGTTTTATGATTGTCATTCACTTTAGCCACACAGAGATAAAAAAAAATGCTGTTAGATTTATCTTTCCAAATGAAGTCTGACTTACCTGAATATTATTTTGCTTTTTCAAATTCTGACAAATATCCGCCAACAAAGATAAAAAAAAAACTGTAATTGTAAACTTTTTTTCTTTTAGTTTGTACCCAGGATGAAGTGAATGAAATGAAGATGTTCCCTGTAAAACCGGCGCGTAAAGATAAAAAAATAAAAGCCGCTTCAGTCCGCTTTGGTCCCCTACATCCAGAGCCTGGAGGATCTGTGGCTCTGAGGCTCCCTCCTCCCCCCTCTTATATGTGGAGGCTCGCAGTGCGCCTGTCAGTCACCGTCTCTGGGGTCTGATCGCTTTGCAGCCGGTTGTTACATAAAAAAAAAAGTCTTCCGACGTGCTGCGTGATGTTCGTCTCCGCGCGCCGTTGGTAGCCTTTAAAGAAGGGGGAAGGAGGGTGGGGGGTGACACGTGGCCCCTCCTTCTCTTGTCTCCCACCTTGATGCCCACCCGTCCCCTCCCTGTAGAGCCAGCAGCCCCACGCTGTGTCTGCGGCTGAGACAGATTCTGCGTAAGAGGCGGGAGGGAGAGACCAGAACCGGATCCGGTTCTGAAATTAAAGGCCCAGAGTTTTTTTTTTAATGGATGCATGTCGCCCGCCGCTTTTCATGCCAGACTTTTAAATTAGAACCATTTTATGTAGAAAAAGGGAGTTACGACCATGATGTAAATCCATCCATCCATCCATCCATCCATCCATCCATCCATCCATCCATCCATCCATCCATCCATCCATCCATCCAATTTTATCCTTGATAAAAGAGGCAACTATTTTTTAAAAATATGATTTTCTGCATCATTTCGTCCTCGCTGCTATCTGGAGCTAATACCATAGGCATAATAGGTGTAATTTTCAGGGGGGTTATGACCCCCACAATAATTAGATCCAGTCAAAATACCCCCACCCCCCATAGGCGTAATTTGCAGGGGGGTTAGGGGGGTTATGACCCCCACAATAATTTGATCTAGTTGATATAACCCACCCCCCAATAAAACATCATTTTGCTGTAACAATAAAAATGAACTGGTTAAATACACAGCTGCAACTCTAGTTGTTTTTAGTTCACTTTGACCTGATTTCAAAGTTTACAATGTCACATAAGATATGTGATATGTGCACATTTAAGCATAATTGTTGAAAATAACATGCAGGGTTTTAGTCTGCCTTTGTCACATTATGTCTAGATTGTGTTGTATTTTTTTTTCCTGGACAAATTGTAGTGCACCAGGTTGGAAATTTTAGAATGTAGGTATGTCATATAATACATCCTAAAAATGTCAAATATTTATTACTTATGGGAAAAAAAAAAGAAGGGTAAGCCTTTTCTTAATTGTTGAACTGACGTGAAACAGAAAAGGTGCAGAGTAAATACAAAAAAAAAAATCCCTGGAAAGTTAAGTAAATCAAAGCAAAAGCCTTAAAAAATATTTTATCTCCTAAATATCTTGAATGGTTTTACAAAAGTAAACAACTCAATAAATAAATAGAGAGCATAACCTCCCCAATGGTAGACCTAAAGTTACGTCCTTGCCCCACCTCCCATTAACTGACATCATTTGCTCGAACACAGTAGAAATTAACTGAAGCTCTGTTGTTGTCTTTAGGTAACTTTAACCTGATTTAAAAATTTGCCATATCATATTTGTACATTTAAGCATAATTGCTAAAAATGACATGCAGGATTATATAGAACAACCCCCGCAATGCTAGACTTAAACTTACATCCTGGCCTAATACACAGCTCAAAAATGTTCAGATATTTTTTGTGGATTTTTATTTTCATTTTTTGATAATCCTACAAAGACCAGAGATCTGGAGGAGTCATGAAGCAAAGGTGATCGATGTCAGTTAAGCTGATAAACAACTGTATTTTCCAGCTCTCTTCTCCAAGCTGTGACCTCACCGTGGAGGTTCATGGCTTTTGATCAGACACAAAAAAATAAGTTCAGTTTGATTCAAGACTGAGTAGGAAATTAGACCTTTCAAATATTTTAAGGTATTGAGTCATTTGACATTTGTTATAACCTGTGTAAATCACAACAAGTCAAAGATAAAAATATAAAAAGAAAATATTCTCATTTGCATTGATCATGTCAGAGGTCTTAAACATTTACATAAAACAGAGGACCTTTTTTTTTTTACTCATGACAACATTAACAGGTTTCTGGTTGCTTGTGGCTACAGCATCAAATAAAAAAAAGTGTCCATTTCTGACCAACATGCTGTTTATTCTAAGTCATGGTAAAGTTTTAACCATATATTTTTATTGGCAAAAAAAGGCAAGTATTTTAAGACCTAAAGTGTAAATAGTGAAGGGTATAGATGCAGAGGGACGCTGAGAAGTTGCAGAAGTGGACCTTGAGGTGACAGAAACTTTCATAATTAGATCAACATTATACCGTGCTTCTGACTGTTACACGCTGACACTGTGCTGTATTATATCAGTRAACACTCCTGCTTTTAATAATCTATGCACGTCGGGTCTCCCGAGTTTTCTCCTGTCTCAAGTAAGTTTTATCCTTCCTGCAGCCAGACAGCTCATAAGACTTTCCATCAGAGTTGCCAGATCTGTTTTATCCGTCGTGTTCAGTAGCACTTTAGGCAGAAGATTTATCACAGGGCAGGCTGGTGATGCGTGCACACGTTCCTCTAACGATCAGCGAAACACTTCTAAAGGTGAGACAGGATAAACAAAGCTTTAGAGTAACTTACCCCAAAATTAACTTTTTTTTGCTGATAAACTATCTAGAATGTGTCTAAAATGTTATATAGT